CACTTACGTCTGCTTTATCCAGAGCTGCGTCAGGAAACAGATACTGACACACACACTCACACACACACACACACACACACACACACACACACACACACACACACACACTCACACACACACACACACACACACACACAAACACACACACACACACACACACACACACACACACACACACAGTACAGTATAGTAAACACACACACACACCCTGTATGTGCTGTTACTGTTCTTTATCCAGAGTCGCTGGTCTACTGCAGTTGTCAGATGTTTACTGCTCAGTGGTGTATCTGCAGCAGCTCAGGTCCTCCAGCATGAATGATCTGTGATGCTGCTTTATTTTTTAGTGTGTTCAGGAGTGTGTGTGTGTGTGTGTGTGTGTGTGTGTGTGTGTGTGTGTTTGTGTGTGTGTGTGTGTGTAGCTCCCTCTAGCGGCTGAATTTGAGGCAGACAGCAGTGAAGCAGCAGCAGAGGACAGCGCAGGCGCGGAGGTGTCTGATTCCTCTGCTGTTCACTCAGTCTTTATATTGTCCTTTATTTCTCCGCGTTATGGTGTGTTGTTCATGTGGAGCAGTACCTGTGTGTTTACAGAAGAGTGATGATGTGTTTATTGCCCTGATGTTCACTGCGGACCCTCAGCACCCTAACTAGTGTACACTACAGACAGCAGAAACCGCAGACTGCGCGCGCGTCTGTTTAGTGTTCTGGGGTTCTCAAAAAACATACAAACACACACATTTGTGAGTGTATCATATTTATCTTCGTGTGTGTGTGCGTGTGTGTGTGTGTGTGTCTTTATAAGGCCGTTCTTGAATCAGTCCTTTAAAACAGGAGCGGTCACGTGTGCCAGATTCCTGTCCATCCATTGGCTCATGACGTCACGCGCGCTGGCTTTTCTTTTAAAACGAAGGCGGGAATCGCGAGCTTCATCACTCCAGCAGCTGCAGCGAACACACACACAGATCTCCAGAGGGAGAAGAGCTCACACATTTATTCACCAACACACACACAGAGGCGCGATGGTGCGGACTAAAGCTGACGGAGTTCCCGGAACATACAGGAAAGGTAAAGCCGAGCAGAGTGTTCCAGCAGCGGTGTCTTCATGACGGCATGACTGCTGAGGGGGAGAGCTCATCACTGCGGTCTATATATCACCGTACAGGAGGACGCTCCTCATTATTGTGTTGCTGGTGTGTGTGTGTGTGTGTGTATGTATGTGTCGAGGAGGATTATGATGATGATGATGATGAAGAGTAAATGTGTTGATCATTATCATCTCCCGCCTTTTCCCAAACCTCATCAGCTCGCGGATGAATCTCCGATATGAGCTGTTGATCGGGTTAGCGCGGTTGTTAGTCTATGGCGGATGTTCCTTTGTGAGGGTGATTTGCCGCCAGATTGTGCTGCTGCACTGATGGCTGTGGCGCCAAACCCCTCGTCTCCAGATGTTCATCCTCCGACTAAACGGGTGTGTGTTAACGGGTGTTTCGGAGCCTGGTCGCGCTGTTTGTGCAGTTTTAACATTAGTGATGTTTGTTTGTCGGAGTTTATTGGAGAAAAGCAGAAATGGCGCCACTTTCTCCCCCACCCGCGCCTCAGTGCAGCTGTGGAGCACCGGAAGCGGAACTCGCGCTATCCCCCCTCAGTGTTCGTCTGTTCTGCTGTGTTTATCTGTCACTCTGCTGTTTTTAATCATTTGTTGTGTTTTTGTTTTAGCTGTTGCTGCTTCCGCGCCCCGGAAATCACTCGGAGCATCCGGATCCTCGAACGCGCAGAGCGGCAGCGCGCAGTCGGGCACGCCTGGTAAGTGCACGCGCACGGTGCAGCTTCTGTCGTCAGGCTGAGGTACCGCTGTGTGCTGTAGATGAGCTGTGGTTATCCAGCTCTTATAGTCTGCGTGAGTTTATCAGCGCAGTGTTCATGGGGGAGTCATTATTCTCTGCAGGGTCATCCTCTGAGGCTGTTTGAGTGTGCTGGATTCTCACTCCGCTTGTTATTTATACTCTATAGTCTTTGTTGTAGCCGCTCTCCTGTTGACCTGAGGGTTTCCATAGCAACTGCGTATTAATATTACCACGCC